CTGAAAACCTGAGAGCAGAAGACAAATAGCCCTCAAAGTTGAAGGGAGTCCTTCAGATAGAGCTCACTTAAAAAGTAATAAGTTAATAAAGTCATCAGGCTCATGGGCTGGGGTTTTGCTCAGACCTCTTTAAATAACTTCCTAGATAACGAAGAGAATTTAATTTTCCTGATAAAATTAGACCAATTAATCAGACAGCACAGCAAAGGATATATTTCCCTTCTATATGGAGACAACCAGCTATGTTATGATAAAGAATTTATTAGCAAGAAGAGTTCTCCTTAGACTTCCTTGGGAAATGAAGGGCAAGCCAATAGTAAAATATTTTAAAGCTCATTGAGGGCTTCTGGAGCACTGGTGAAATGTGCACCATCTATCAAGATTATTAAGATGAAACTATTAACCCTCTGACAGTTTAATAACCATTCTTTATGTTATAATAACACAGGGCCCCTTTGGGATCAAAGTTCCAATTTTGGAGGCACTGTCCATCATTTGTCAAGGAAATTGAACCTTTGTGTTGAGCAAAACAGCAACAGGACCAGCCTACCCTACCTTTTGGTCCCTAAACTGTAGAACCTTGCAGTTCAGGGCCAGGTTTCCCTTTTTATAGGCCTTTTAGGGTAAATAGAGCCACTGGGTCAGTACACTACTTGGGGGATCACAAACCACTGGACCAAAATCTGAAAAAGGGGTTAATGAAGTGTGGTGTCACAGATCTCAGCAGCCCTGCAGCTCATGGAGGTTTGGACCATTCCTAGAATTGACTTGTTGGGGTTCCAGACTAACCTCCAACCCAGCACAGCCATCTTCAGGGTAACACACCAGTGCTGCCCAAAACATTGCTACCATAACAAAGATGAGAACCATTCCCCCAGACAGTGAGCAATTAGTCCTGGCAGCATGTGAAGATTTCACTGAAATCTCTCTTACAAGCTCATTAATGTCCTTGTAGCTATTCCACACCCACAGTGCATTGTGTATGTTTTGTTTTATCCTTGTGAATATTCAGGTTTACAATGCAACCAAGAGTTCTGCTTCCCTAAGAAGTGGAAATGCATGATCACCCAGCAAAGGAGTCTTTTGTAGAAATGTCATTGCAGCCACGTTCAAGTTGCACTGATTGATTTCCAAGCTGTTTCTGTATTAAAGCAAAGTGCTTTGTTGTCAGCTTGGTTTCCTTATGCAATTCATCCTCAGCTGACACAGCTCTGCCTTTGTAATACAATCCTTTGAGGGGAAAATGTTTTGCTTTTGGATGGGATAGAGTTAAATTTCTTCCCTGCAGCAGGTGCAGTGCTGTGTTTTGGGTTTAGAATGGGAATGGTGTTGATAGCACACTGCTTTCATTGCTGCTGGGAAGGGCTGGCTCCCCACTCCAGTGGGGACAGTGAGCAGGGAGCTGCACAGTGCTTCGTGGTCAGGGTTAAACCACGACACACAACTCGAGATTCTCCTTGGATTTGGATCTGAGGTTTACCTGGGCTCACAAGAAAGAGGAGGCTGTGCCATATACCTTGCTTTCCCAAGAGGGTAAAAGAAATAACAAGAACACCTATCATTATGCTCGAAAACTATATCCCGGTATTTAGATCATGGCTTTGTTTTTCTCTTACCTCTTCAGATTTAATTTTCTGCCTCTGTTGTATCAGAGGGTAGGTTGGTTGGTTTGTCCATTCAGTGTTCCATAAATGCCTGTTCTTGCAACACTTCCTGCCCCATTTTGCAAACTTAGTGTACCTGGACAGGCCTTACACCCTTCAGGTGGTGTAAGGAAACACTCCCAGGCACTGAAGTCAGTACAACAATGCATAAAGTAAGGATACCCCTGTATTTTTTAACACAGTAGCCACCTCCAGGTGTTTTCCCAGCATCAATCACCAGCAAGCTCTCAGCAAAGCCTGTGCTAGCACTCAGAGGAAGAGCTGACAACAAACAGTGGGAAGTAAAAGAAATCACACCTGAATACTCCTGACCACGGAAAATGCCAAGGTGGGGAGAGAGGGGGAAGGAAATGGGGACACACACAGGGCAGGAAGGATGAAATTAGAAAAATTTGGCCCAAAAACAGAGGCACAAATAAACAGAGGTGATTATACTCACTGTCTGTTAGAGATGTGTAATCAACAGTTCTCAAGAGGTACCTTTTTTTCTCCTGTAATTTTTGCTGACTTGGTTTATGTTTAAATGCAGAAATTACTCCAACTTTCATAAACATTTGTGCATACCAGCATTTCTAATGTGCACTTTTGGCCCTGTGCCTAATTTGATGTAGTTCACATCTGTAACCTTGCTACTTTTTGAGAATTCAACCCTGACCTTCATCTATTCCTTTTCCAGTGCAGCTCAGTTTTCTATCCTACCCTACACTTGGCAAAATTGCATGGTTTTCATGACTGACAGTCCTACCAGATGCCTTTGGGTGACCTCAGTACCCTTCTGCAACTGTCAACTCTTCCCAAGTTTCTAAATTAAAACATCTTCCCACAAATCTCATCAGTGTTCTGTGTCAGCAGTCTAGGAAAAAAAAAGAAAATACACTCATTTGCATAACCTTTCCTTTCTACAAGGATCTGAGTGCCTAATAGGACACTGAGGATCTTCTATTGTCATCTTCTGTCCTCACATCTAGGCAAAGTCAAGCTGGGCTTTGCTACTGAACTGGGACCATTCCAGAGGAAGATGCTGATGTTTCCTCCCTTCCCTTCCTTTCCACCCCTGGGAATGAAGGGCAGCTCCCCAGAACCCTCTCCCCAGCTCATCACACTAATTATAATCAGAGTTCCTTAGAATCCTTGCAAATGTAGGGATTTTCTTTTTGCTGTAGTTATTGAAATCACTCCCAGAAAAATACTGCATCCCAAACTTAATGTCATGTGGGAAGTCACCTGCATCATCCCACTGGTTTATCAATGTTTTCAAATTTAATGTGAATGTTCGTTTTGTTCACCAGAGCTCTTGAGGACTGCTCTCTTTTGTTCTGAATCTTTAGGCTTCAGACAAAAAATACCAGCATAAAACTTATGCCATTGCATCCCACATTGGATGGTGATGCTAAAAAAACCTCCCTCTCTGTGCAGTCCACTCTCCTTACATCAGAAGTAAAGAAATCTGATGCAGTCAGTGCCTCTTTCTCTAACCAGCCTTTTCTCCTCTTCCTGAGAATATCTGGAGTTTTGCCCCTAGGATTAGAGTAAGGAAGGAGAGGAAGTTTTCTGGTATTGAAAATTCTGATGGGCCAGTTGTTTTTGTAATTCTTTTCTTCAGCATGGTCTCCAAGACTTCGTACTTTGTGCTGCTCTTATTAACGAACTTGCTCTTAATTAAGCTGCATGACAGCTTTGGCTGTGAGGAACATGGGCACTCATTTTGAGTTTCCTTTTTTTCCAAGCTTTTAAGAAAGGCAGGCAGGCATTTAAGTCACATGAAGCTCAATGGCTTTTAAGAACCTGTGTTCTTTGCTGAATACAAAAGGATTTGGAGACATCTTTAATTAGTCTGATGAAATTGGAGTTGGAAAGAACAGATTATGCTACTTTACTCTGCCTTTCTCCAAGTGTGTACATTTTCCATGAGAGACACACGAAAAACTGCAGAGCCCCTCACCATTTGCCATCCTGGTGCCTTTTAAACTATCATGATTTATAAAGTATCCTTGGAATAGAAATCTAGATATGGGTTTTAGAATGGGAATAAATGTTTTGCAGATTGCAGAACATTAGGGCACCAAGAAGCACAGAGTAAAGATTCCACGGGTCAAAGACCAAACAGTTTACATTCCTTATTATTTAAATGCTGGCCATGTCTATAGTTAAGCATCATAAAGTGGTAAAAAAAAAAAAAAAAAAAAAAAAAGAAAGAAAAAAACCCCCACAACAAATCAACTTAGAAATTGATTGTATATAGTTCATTAAAACAAAGAATAAAAGAGGGAAATTGGATAGAAGAGGCAGAGAACTGAAATTAGCTGTCTAAAAAGAGCACTACCAAAATTACCCTGGTTTTATAAAATAATGTTTTGTAGCTAACTCCAAAGCATTTAATTTCCTGTGAAAAATTTCAGACAGCCCTGAAGGCATTGTTTGACCAGCTGTACAATATATCAGCTAAATGTGCTCTGAGTGAATAGATTCTCCTAGCAGAGGCACCTGCAGGATGTCTAACTTGTATTTCACACATTCTTTCAAGGCAGCCATGCAGCCCCACTGGCTCATCGTTGGCATTCACAATGGACAGCTGGCATCATCCAAATGACACATTACACTTGCTTTTGCTGGCAAATAAATAAAAAAGCCACTAAAAAAACCCCTCAAGAACAATAAAAACAGCAACAAAACAAGAAGCAGGGGAATGTCTTCAAAGGTTCTTCTGGATTCTGAAATGTTTAATTGGACATTCAAATGACAATACATCAAAATATGCAGCTTTTCATGTATAATGAGAACTGAGGAAACAAAAAATAAACCCCTGCAATACTCCAGAATTCCACATAGATGAGCTTGCCAAATCAGGAAGTTTGAGGAGGGAAGTATAATTATCTTTAGTGTCTGCTTCATTAGCAGACCACGATGCAGCAAGAAAGTTACCCATATGTTGCACTTTGCTGAGGGAGAGGAGAGAACAAAACAGAAAGCCTGACACAGTCTCCTAAGCATCTGCTGAGTTCTGCAGGGTAAAAATCCTCCCCTTGCCTGTGTGAGTGGAAACAATCTACTGATTTTTAGTTGTGGTCATGGACTTGACACGACCCAAGTCCCAGTCTCCTGTCTAAGCTCACCCAATGATGATGGTGCAGACACCACGGATCCTTGTCCTTTTTAAACCCTGTTAACCTGCAAGGCTGACATTTGTTACTAACATATGCACATCACAAGTTCTTAATTTGGAGAATTATATACAAACAGGGAAGTCCCGCTAGTTTCAGTGTCATCATTTCCAAGGCTCACTTTGCAAGCAAACTTGCAGCAAGAGGGATCTCAGCCAGCAGTTCTGACTTACCTCGAGTGCTCCTCACTCTGACAAATGCTGCCTGAAAAATTGCAACTCCAAACCTTCTGGACTCAGTTTGGTGTTGTAGAGTAGTTCTCAAATTCCTTCTTTACCTCTATGCCAAAAAAAAAGGATAAGGCTTCTCTCCAAGATCTTTTGGTGGAAGAAAGATTTATGACTCTAAAGAACAGGCTTACCTGATTACACCAAGCAATGTAGCTTTCATACAGTGAAGGCATTTCCCTCCTTTTAATGGACAGGCACAAGGAAACAACAAGAGATTTAAGATCATGCAATGACTTACATGGATGTCTATGCAAGAAAAAGCATCTTTGAACAGGTAGCCTGATAAAAAGCACAATTACATCCACAGTGAACAGAAGACACAGCCCAACTACCTCTTATCCAGGAGCTTCAGTGTTTCATTTTTCTTAACTTTTTGCTATAATACTTCAAATGCAAACATCTATCTATAACGTTAGTCCAAGAAATATTTGTGAAGGTTTCTTGCTGTGCTCCCTTTGCTCATTATCATTTGATAGCTCCTCACCAGGCCACATTTTGTAATCTCATCTTGAATCTAGAATTTGGAGTTAAACACTGTTTCCTTCTCCACTACTGATATGAACCTCGTATTTACCCTTCTGACCTCAATCTCATCACAAAAATGGAGTGGGGAGATGAGGGAAACTAAACTGAAGTTAGACTGAGTCTAGCATTCAAGAATAAAAGCTGCAGGCAAGTTTAGAAATGTGATGCTCTCAGAAAAATAAAAAAAAATAAACCACCTTTTTTATTTCTGAATGTCTGACAGCTTTACTTTTAAGCAGCACCTTTAAAATTAATGAGAAGCACATACTGGAAATATTTAACAGCCTAATGAGAGTTATGCTTCTTTCCTCTGGATTTTCAATGGAGCATGGAATCCAAACCCATTTTGTGCCTTGAAGAAAACTTCAGTATTATTCAAAATGCTGAGATCTGTGGAAATCTTGGTGCCTTCTTCCTCTCACTTCTGATGGCCACATTTTTCAGTGGGTAAAGAGACTTGTGCCTGCATGGATCCAGCAGTTCTCAGTCAGTTAATGCAGATGTAATTTCCTGATATTGTGAAGAACTGCTAATTGTTATTATCTCTCCCTTTGGTGCTATTAAGAAAACGTTTAAACTGCTTCAAACTTCTGGACTGGTGAATCTCTTTTAAAAGCCACTTATTTAATCCTGGAAACATCAGGGAAATGCTACCAATGATAAAGTCCTGCTGTTAAAATAAATATTGAATTCTGGTTTGCATCTGTATTTATTTTTAATGCAAACTGCTAAGGACTTGTTCAGCAGTGGGAGTCTATTTATCTGCATAATGCATGCTCTTGTTTACACATTATCACTTGTTAAGTGTTATGTCTGCATATAAACAGACAAAAGGAAAAGCTGGACTGAAACCACATGAATCTGACAGGGGAACACTCTTGACAGAACAGACAAGGTTATGGGTTTTTAGCAGACCCTTTTATGAAGTGCCAAGTGATGACAATAGCCAGAATTTTACTAAGGCTTATGAAATGCACTGCTGCACTCTGCTCTTAATCAATATGGTGCAAATGTTTGCATAAATAATAGAAAATCCCACACAGGCTGATCCTCAGAACAAATCAGTTAGGCCACAAGAGAGGGAGAAGAAATGGAGTTTCCATCCAGTAAAAGAGGAACCACTGCATTTTAGCAGGAATTGCTAAACCCGTGTCCAACCCTTTCTTGCCATGGCATTTTTGGGGTGGGATTTTCTAGCACGTTTATTATTGACATGAGACTTTTGAAATCCATGTGTGACTTGACTCAGCTAGCATTTTGCCCACATTTAAAACATAATTCTAAATATTCCAGGAGGCCATTTATACCTGGATGCAGCCAGAGCATCATGCCTTTCATCCACGTGATACTAAATCATTCAACAGGCACCTTTCACTGGCTGATTGTGATGACTTCCAGTAACATGTAATTCCTCATTTCATACAAATTTTACAGGTAAAAATATGAGCTAGGATTAAAGATCTGCTCTTAGTCACAAATCTTAATTGATATTTCTTTTGTAGCTGGAAAATAAACATTTTAATTTATAATAAGCATCGCTTTTCATCATGTATTCTGCTAAATTTATTGCTGTTATTTTATTATTGTGTTATTTATGGACAAATTATAAAGCATAGCTCTGAATACTCTGTTAGGCTTTGCTGAGTTTTTTCCCATCACCCCTACAATCCAACCCACATCTGAAGCGAGCAGTAGTGAAATTTTCTTTTGTATTGCCTGACACTATTTCAAATTTTACATCAAGTACAGGCTTCTTTTCTTTTTATATGTAGCTTTTCAGTTTACACTGCACTAAATCTGAAAAACAGTCTTCTGTTTACCAGGGAAAAATAAACATTGTCTTGCTCCAAGGCAGAAACACATGGCCCAGTTTTGTGGAATACAATAAATATAGCTTGAAAGCAGCATCTGAATGAATTTGTATAAATGGCCACCTCACCATGAGCTGCAGTGTGACAGGGTTATGATCTCCAAATCTTGCACTTCCCTTCCTTCAGGCACTGCCAGCCTGAGCTCCTTGTCCTGGCTGAAGTGACAGAACTGGAAAACAGAATCAGTGCAATTTCTGTATCAGTTATCCCATTTCACATGGAAAAAGACTCTCTTAAATGCCAAGGAAAGAAATGTGCATCCAATTTATGTCCCTCAGGTACTAGTTAACTGGACTAGTTAACTTCCAGTGGACTCTCTTTGTCTATTCAGGGAGGGCATTTCCTATTTTAAGTCTGCTAAACAGGAGATTTCTCACTTTTCTCTTGAAAACCATCAACATTTCTTTTTTGGTCGGTTCTCAAGAAGCTTTATAAATAAGTGGATTTATTACTGTGTAGAAATCCTGTGTTAACAATTACATCATATCAAGCACATAAGTGGCTATTAAATACAACCAGCAGCATCCTGCAGACATGGGCACATCCATTAGAGCCTTCAGCTGTGTTAATACAGAACATTAACTGCACAGCAGAACATTTCTGTGTAGGGCAGCAGATGGGAGCTCAGTGCCATGTGTTTGCTGCTCTCAAATGGAGTTTTAAAATCCACCTCCTCTCTGGGGGAAATCTACAAACAACCTGTAGAAATGCAAAGCCTGTGGCCAGCAAGTCTCTGTGCCAAGAGGGGCTGATCTAACCCCCTCTCCCCCCAACTTTCCAGCTTTCCATTCCCACCTGGAGGTGGATGTGTCCTTCCAGCTGTCCCACATGGATGCTGGAGCCTTGGTGGGAGCTCTCCAGGCTCCTGGGCCAGCACTCAGCCCCTCAGGAGCTGAACCCTAGACACTGCTGCTCTTCTCTCTCCTGTATTGGGTATTTGGTTATCAGGGGAGAGAAATCATGAAGATCTGCTAATTGCTACATTCCCAGACTGCCTTAGATACCATTCTTACCGTTTTCATTTCATTATTTAGTTCTTAACATTTTCATTCTCTTCCCTCATAAACCAGTCTAATCCTAATCTCTTTTAATGCTGGGCTCTCCACAGAACAAAGGGCAGGGAAAGATCTCATAGATTCCATCTCACTTAATAACCACTTTCTCCCTAGCATTAGGAATGGGTGAAGCTGAGGTTGAAAAACTTGTCACTCTTCTGGATTCATCCCACATTCTTTGCCAGTTTTATTAATTGAACAGATTTTTTAAATATAGATTAATTTGATGAGGTGTTTGCATTACTATTTCTTCTGCCTTCATTAGCATTTGAGAGACATTTGACGACAAAGTCTTATTATATCCATCACAGGCATTGCACAATCTGACATTTCCTGGATGATCAGATGGGAATTAACTTTGGAGTACATTGTGATAGGCAGCATGTCATGATACCTAAAGTTAACATGCTGCATTTATAGGAATCCTTTCTGGAGCAGATTTGCCCACCTCTGGTGACAGCAGTGAGTTTAAGTAGACCAAGATTTGGCCTTTACCTTTTAGCTGAGGAGGCAAAGGGCTGCCTTTTGAGCAGGGAATCCACACCATGCCCTTCCCTTGCTGGGGAATTCATCTGTGGACATTTCAAACACTGATGCCATCTGCAACGTCCTTGAACAGCCTCCCAGGCTGGAAGTGAAACCCATCTGCTTTGTGTTCCATTCTCTGCCAGTAGACATCACACCTGCTTCTTCTCTGTAAATATTTTATTCCCAGGGAAGCCAGGTTGTTTTTCTTCATTGTAAGAGTGCTGTTCTAGAATGCTTTTGAGCAAAAATGCACAGTTACAAAACTTACTTTAGCTGGTCACAGTAGCAAAAATATGGCTGATTCAGTGAAGCTATGCAAGGAATCCTAGTGCATCACTGTGCTGGATGATCCAAGTGCTTGCAGCTTTTATAATTTTCTAGGTTTGTATCAGTTGTTTGTAGATTTCATAATTTAGAAAAGAACACTACAGATAAGAATAAGTCAGTGCAAACACGTGAAAGCAGTTACAATAGCAGAGTACAATGGAAAAACAAAAAAGCAATTACAGGGTTGTTGGTTTTTTGGCACGTGCTTGAGAAATGTCTAACGCCATCACATCTCAAAATTACACGTAGCTAACCCCTACACTGAATGGAAACTCCAGAAATATCTAGCATCAGTTTCAATAACTGCTGCTGCTGCTGCTGTGCAAACACATATATACAGAAGCACACAAATTATTTAAGCAACATTACCTTAGAGTTTAATGTGTTTGCATTTCTTGCTGCGGGCACACCACAAGGCTGCTATCATAAAATATCCCACACCTACCAATTCCTCCTCACCAGCTGGGTAGTCCCTTGAATTCCAATTATGTATTCCATTCTATATTAGCCTTCATGTTGAAGGTGCTACTCATTTTTGCCTTATGATTCCATATTTCTGCTTGTGACATGAGCAGCAAAAAAATCTCCCACCATAAACTGTAGCTACTCCAGGCTGGATCAACACAGCCTCTACTCCAAGTCAAAATTTGCTTTGTTCTGTTACTTCACGTGTTAAAGTAGTTTCAGTACTAAAGTCACTCATACAGTTGAAAATTATTACATCAGGACTAAAAATTCATGAAACATAAGCTACAGAATTGACTACAATAAATGCAGAAGCCAGTGGCACTTTAAAATTATCTTGGTGAATTATCTAAATCTGTCATTGTGCACACATTTGACATAGTTTCATATATTTGTGTCATTTACTATAGATCATTATTCTGAAATAAAAGCATCAGAAAAGACAAAGACCCAAACACGAATGGTCACCTTGAAAATTAGCATGGGAAACCCCACAAAAGTATCACGTTTGTACAAATTCTCATTAAAATTTTTCACTACAATTTTTTCATTAAAAATACATCCATGAACAAGTCAGAGTGGGCCACTATATGGTAGTCACTGTATCTATAAGATCATTTAGGGGATTCTTCAAGCTTCTAATTTACCAGTGAGAAAAGAAGGAAATCTGCCACATGAAATGCCAGCATAAATGAATGTCATGGTCCTTTCATCACTCTTTTTCCTGAGCCTTAAACAAAAAACAAGCAGACCATCTCTCTTCTGTATATTGGGGAAAAAGTGGAAAAGGAACATGTGAGGAAAAGTGCTCCCAAAAAAATGGAAAGTAATGGGAGCAGATTTGTTCATTTGGGGTGTGCCTGGGGATGGCACTATAGGCTTGGGGGAATATTTGAGTACATGGGGAGTGAAACATTCTGCAGCTTCTGAGGCTCTGAGCAGTGATTGTTTTAAAGGACTTAAAATTCACCAGTTTATACACTCACAGCTTTCACCAGCTAAGCAAGAGTTGCCTAGAACCCATGGTATTCCTGCTGATTGTTTGAGAAGTGTTTTCCAAATGCTGCAGACTTTTCTGGATTCCCATACTTTGATCCCAAAACCAAATACTCCAAACAATCTGAAAGATTCACTGCTACATATAATTAGGAAATAGATGTCAGATACAGCTCGAGGCCTTGCAGCTAAACATAAACCTTGGCCAAATCACTTCACTCCTTTCTTCCTCATTTTGTTTAAGGAGGAAATAAGAATAAAGCCTCTCCCTTCACAACAGCTGAGCCAAAAGGTTTGCAAAGAGTTTGGAGATCCCAGGGCATAAGTCAGCACATAAAAGCATAATATTTTGATTGCAAGGGGCAGGTGTATTTTATCACCTGCTGGATAAGTCAGAGTGCAGAGGATTAAAAGAAAAGTGCATCAAAGGAAAAGTCTCCGTGTAAATGCAGCCAGCCACAGTCTCCTCACGCCTCAGCTGCTTTATAAAACACAACCCAGCCACCACTCTCAGCTGAATGACTCCCACTTATTAATTGCTCACAGACTAGATAAGGAGATAGGAAACCTCTGAAGCATGTAAATTCCATTGTTTGAAAGTGTAAGCTGTTTTGAAGTGTAAGGTCTTCTAACCCTGCAGAGTCGTGCCAGATGTTTGGAGCTCTCTGTCAGCACCTGAATGTCAGGCAGACACTTCCTAATTTTTTTTGTTTTCCTTCAGTTTGCCTCGAGACAAGGAAGAACTGTCCTCCAAGAGCCAGCTAAACAACTTGGTGGTGAAAAAAGTGAAGGAAAAAAAACAGTTAAGAATCCACACTTCAGCAGGACAGGGATTTAGAATAATATTTTTAAATGTGCCAGAACTGAGCATGCAAAAATCGCACAGTTTTCAGGATTAACCAGGAACTGAAGAGATCTGTGATCCTGTTATCAGCAATTCTTGTGTCCTCGGGAACACTGGAGTCCTTTCCAAGGCAGGACAAATTTTCTCTCTCCCTGCAATCCCACACAGCATCTTCAGAGATGCTGCAAAAGTTTGGTGCAATCTTTGTCCTTCCTCAACAAAAGTTGTTCATTACAAACGCTGTTGAAAGGCTTTCTTACAGAAGTTGAAGCTTGATTCTGGTGACCTTAGGATGAAATTCCAAAAATCACAGATGATTTGTTGGTCTGAGCAACTTTACTCGGATCTTTCTCTGGGTTTTCCCTAAAGCATCATCCAATACTCTCATATATGGAAGCAACAATTCATCCAGAAATATCTTTTGTTGCTGACAGTCAAAAATACTATGCAATAAGCAGAATTCTTTCCTCATCTGCACTAGTTTTATACAACACAAGTCACAAGCTCAGTGAAACAGCTTCTGATTTACAGCAACTGGGAAGAGAACCAGGAGAAAACATCTTTACAGTAAACACCTCAGACCACTAAGTGCAGCTAACAGGAGCAAAACAGGGATAAATCATGTTCTGGATCTCAGTAAAAACACATCGTGCTTCACTCCATGACTTCTCCCCCCCAAGTGCAGATGTAGATGAATTCCATTGATAACCATTCCAATGCACTGGTCCACGTTAAGGTAATGCCAATTGTTTGAGAGGTGCAGTTTCCTTTTGGTTTTTTTTGCTTTCAGATTGGTTTCCTTAGGCTTCCCCAATTTTCTAAAGCAGCTGCTTTAGCAGTTCAGCCAGCACTGCTAAGACAAAGTGGTTGTTGAGGAGAGCC